TACCAAACACTTATCGGTAAAAAATTTAACACTATCATTTACTTATCGGGTAAAATTTTAGTCCATCAAAACGACATCGTATGCAACAATTTACCCGGTAAGCGCTTATCATGGTAAGAGTCGTCGCCCTCACTTACCGGGTAAGACTCTTGGTCCTTGTCTCACTCTTACCAGGTAAGATTCTTGGTCCTTACCATATTCATCTAGCGAGGTAATGTTACTTGGTAAGCGCTTACCTGGGTAAGCGTTTGGTAAACGGCCCCTTAGTTATCCTTATCAGATCAGGTTTTAGGGATCTATAAATATCTCTTAATAGATGCTCTAGAATTATGTAGAAAATAGTCTAAAGTAGTTCATTAGCATATGGAACTAGTATAATTTGTTTTTTTTCTTTCGATATGATAAAGCTTCTTCTCTTCTGTTAACTTCAGTCCCACATTTAATATTTTGTTTTGCTTCTCTTGATCAATTGAGGTTCTTGATTTCGTACAACAAATTGGTATCAAAGCCAATTTGGCCAATTACTCATCTGTGTTTATAATTAAGCGAAACGATGTTACCAATGAGCATAAAAATCGACAAGTTTATAGGGAGAAATAGTTTTGGTCTATATAGATCAAGATGAGAGCTTTGCTTAAGTCGCAAGGACTATGGGCACTGCTATCAAAAGAGAAGAAGAAAGCTAAGGCATTTGAAAAGGAACCTGGAAACGTTGAAGTCGACCACGGTCTTGAATCTTTGGAGGAAAGGGCATATTCGACGATCCTACTATGCATGTCCGATGATGTATTACCGAGGTAGCAGACGCAGAAACAACATTAGGTCTCTAGTTGAAGTTGGAAAGTTTATACATGACAAAATCTCTAACTAACAAGCTGCTTCTCAAGCAATGTCTGTTCGGTATCTGTATGATGGAGGGAACACCTCTCAAAGAACACCTTGACAAACTAAATACTATATTACTAGACCTCCTTAATATAGAAGTCAAGATAAATGGCGAGGATGTTGCCCTTATATTGTTGGTTTCATTAACATCGTCATATGAAAATTTTGTGCAATCTTTTGTTGTTGGAAAATAAACTGTCTCTAGAAGAACTAAGGTCAGCGCTACATTCTAGAGAATTGCGCCACAGAGCATTCGGAGAAGCAGTAGAAAATCATGTTGCTGGTCTAACGGTCAGCAGTGAAAGGGATCCGGGTCTGGAAAAAAGAAAATCAAGAAACAATTCCAACCCAAGGAACCAAAAGCAAACGACATCTACAATTACTGTAAAGAACCTGACCTGTAAAGAACCTGACCATTGGAAAAAACAACTGTCTGAAGAAAAAGCATAAGGCTCCAATGGCTGTTGTTGCACAAGGTGGGATAGATAGTGATTCTGAAGAGGATTTGCTTCTCGTGGCAGACGTAGTACCTCACCAAACCGATAAGTGGGTATTGTATTTTGGTTGCTCCTATCACATGTGTCTTAACAGGGAATGGTTCGACGGCTTTAAGGAATTCAATGGAGGTAACGTTGTTATGGGCAATGATGCCACTTGCAAAATCGTGGGTATCGAAACCATCTGAATTCAGACAGATGATGGAAGAAATCAGAACTGTAACAAAAGTTAGACATATCCCACAATTGACAAATAACTTAATATCTCTTGGAGTTTTGGACGCTAAGGGTTCTAAGTTTTCAGGTGAAGGTGAAGTCATGAACATGAGCAAGGGTTCATCGGTGATATTGAAAGGATTTAAAAGAACACTTTGTACATCCTACAGGGTACTACATTGATTGGTTCTGCTGCTGTAGCTTCTCTATCAGGAACTTCCTATAATATGACTAAGTTGTGGCATATGCGACTTGGTCACATGGGTTAAAAAAGGATGCAGATCTTATCCAAACGAAACCTTCTGTCAGGCCACAAAGTTACAAACTTTGAGTTCTATGAACCCTGTATTTTTGGAAAGAAGCCCGAAGGGGTGCATCTTAGTCCATTAAAGGGACAATCTGGGCTTTTTCATAGAGCAAATAAGTATCTGTGCTCTTTCAAGAACATATATGGTATTCCTAAAAGAGTAATCTGGGTACCTCACAATACGTCTGCACATAAGGGGAGATGTCGTATGAACAAGTCAAGTTAAGGTGGAGAGTTGTTGAGATAATGCCTTGGAACTTTTATGTTTTTGGAAACTTTTAGGGTTTCCTTATCAGTCCTGGATTAGGAAACTCATAGTTATCCTTATCATATTAGGTTCTAGGGATCTATAAATATCTCTTAATAGATGCTCTAGAATTATGGAGAAAATAGTCTAAAGTAGTTCATCAGCATTTGGAACTAGTTTTTATTTTGCTATAATAAAGGTTCTTCTATTCTGTTAAATTCAGCCCCACATTTAATATTTTGTTTTACTTTTCTTGATCGATCAAGTTTCTTGATGTTGTACAACAATATCTAAAACTCGAAGTAGGAACAACTATATATATATATATATATACACACACACACATACACACATACACTTGATCTTTGTTGGTCCCATCTGATTCTACAAGAGTTAATAGGCAATAGTTTGTAGAAGGAGGGATGAATACAAACACAGTAACTTTCACTTTTAAAAATTATATATTGATAAAGAAGATCAATGCATATTTTACAGATTGTTTGCGAAAGAGATAGAATACAGAACCTATCTCAACAATCTAAGATACACACAAAATTACATATAGCAATAAGAAAAGACTTGCTATAAGAAATAAGGTAAGAAGAATTGTGCTCTTCACTTGTTAAAGTGGGTCTTTCTCTCAGGCAGAGAGAAGAGAGAATTAACTTCTTGGGTAAGTTTAGAGTGAGGAAGATGATAATTGAGAGGAGAACTATTTAACTACTTATACCCATTGCATTAAATGCAACTCAGAAGGTATAAGGCACGTGGTAAGCTTTTAGAGAAAAACTTGTCTTTTTTGTAGTATATAGTTCTTTTGGCTGTATATGAACAATTCTCTTTCAAATGTAGGTAAGCACGTTTAGAGTAAAAGGGGTGGCTCCGTACTGTACTGTACTTAGAAAGGTATGGGATTGTCCTCTGTGTGCAGAAGGACAAGACAAAAACTAATCTTGCTCGACAAGATTCATTTGATCGCTAAACATCGGAATGACGCTGAAGGTCTCATCAGTGTTCGTTGAATCTTGGATAGACTTTACACTTGTGTAGACGAGCTTGTTATCATTGAAAACTGCTTCAGATCACGAACTTGCTGGTCTGTAATCTTCAGCTTCTATCTTTGACACCGCTAAAGGATCTGTGGTGTGAATTTTTTCTTTCTGAAGTATATCGGTCTCTGAACGAATTACAATACATGTTCAACGATCATTGAATAGACTTAGTGATAATTGCTGAAACTGAATGCAAAGATAATACACTTCGATAGATAAAAGGGATCATCTTCAAATCATTGAGAGAGAGAATCAATAATCTTCCCCTACTTGATGATGACAAAGCAACATAAAGAAAATTACTTAAGTTACATCAATAAGGAAAAGGTACTAGTAAAATACTTGTCCCTTTAAATGTTATGAGATCTTTTTCAGTGATACACTTTACTTATGTAAATTACTTAAAGTTGTAAAGGATTACAAGTTCAAGAATAAACTGACATAAAATGATAACTAAAACTGAAAGCATGTTTACTAACTAGAAAGTTGTGTTAGTGAATGTAAGAGAACTAGAACTCATAAGTGCTTGTCCTTTTTACTCTTTTTCAGGGATCTTTTCAATGAACTAATACTTTCATTGAATATTAAACAAGGGAAAATATTACAAGTCGTTTATCGGTTATGGTAGACCTAATACATAAAGGCTATACACTAAAAGTAAAGAAAAGAAAATAAGATTACAAGATAGAAAGAATGTCTAATCTAATATTTTGAATATAACCAAGTACATCTTCTCCAAGCTTCTTGTGTCTCATCATTTCATTTCTGATCTTTCGCTCCATCACCTCTCCAAATATATCATCATTGATCCAAATCCTTGGATACTCTAAGTGATCTATCAGACAGAGGTGGAACTCGGATACTCGTTGGAACCTCTATTCATCGTCATAGTTAATGAACATAAGTCCATGCTCAAGTTTCACGTGCACTATATTGGGTATGTAGGGACCCTTCTTAGGAAATGATAGGTTTAGCTTTGAGAGATCCATATTCTTTTGATTCTTCAGAATTTCATCCAGAGAAAATTTTGTCTCGTGCTCGTTCTTGTTGGATGGTCCTTCTTTAGGTTCTGAAAGGTGTTTTCTTCGATAGGGCGGCTTCTTTGAAAAACAAGGGACTTCGATGATCTTGGACACCTTATTGAATAAATCATTAAGGACATCTTCAATCACAAGCTTGTACTTTGATTTGGATCGCTAAATCGTCTGTCGAATCTCCAACCACTCATAGAAACCATACTGACAGAGGTAAGAAGGGTACTCGGTGATAGCATCTAGATTCTCTCGGAAAATGACCATTGAGACAAGGAGTCCACCATCATTCATCCGTCCGTCGATGTTGATGTTTGAGATCTTGTAGGGACTTATCATTTTCTCGATCCTTTTCTTGCACCATTTCAGATCTCGGCCTTTCAGCGTCAGCGCCTGTTGATGTTCTCGTTCAGCTTGTGACAATAGCTAGGCCTGAGATTTGACAGGATCTTTCTTCTTCAGCTTCCCTTTGGCCAGAGCTTGGGCAGCTAGAGTCTTGACCAACTCTAGACTGTCTTTCCGATGTATGCTCAGTTCTTCTTCAACTTTCATGGACTCTTCTGTTTCAACATCAGTGAGGAAATCAAACTCGTCACAACCAGATGTATAAAGAGAGATTTTTACTCTAGTTTGATCGAGCTGGTTTATCAGCTGAATCCTCCTCTAGTCTTCATCATCTTCAGATGTTGGAATTTCAGCTTCGCCTTCATCTGATGGACCAGAAGGGTTTGTTGGAGCAGAGAGTAGAAGAGAAGAGGGCTCAAATTATGAGGAAAATGGTATAAACCTGGAGGATTGAGCTACCTTAGATGGATCGATTGTCTTGAGAATGATGGCGAGATTCCCGTCTTTAGCCACTCCCTTGCCTTTGTCTTTGGAGGAGGAGTGCTGGTTCCCTGAGACTGAGGGTCTCTCCCCCTGGGAAGCTAGTTCCCTAAAGAAGACTCCCTTCAGTACTGGTTGTCTCTGATGGAACTGAATGTTGAAGTCATCATCATCGTCATCTTCATCATCATTATTGTCTCCAAGATCCTTTCTAGCGTCAGAGATATGAGGTTCTTTGTCCTCATCTTCATCGTCTTCATCATCATCCTCATCACCAACATTTGGCAATGTAAAGGTGGAGGGATGGTCTTCATGAATAGCCGGAGCTATCATGGCATCATCATCGTCTTCAGCTTCAGCGTTAGCGTTAGCATTAGCGTTGATCGCATCCTCAGCGGCAAGAATAACATATGTGTGAGGAATAAGAGCAAGGTCTTTAGAGGCAGCTTCAGCAGTCTCCATGGCAACAATTTTCTTACCCTCATCTTTCTCCCCCTCTTTGTCATTATCAAGACGTGAGGAGAGATCATTAAGACTTGAAGAGAGGTCTTCAATTCGGTGCTTGATGTTGGATAGAGCTTCTTTCTAGAGTAGGTTGAACGTAGCGGCCATGCCTGGTAAGCTGAGCCTGGACTTCGTCTGCTTTGCTAGCGAGAGCATCTACGGCCTCAATGTTGGCTTTAACCTACAACTTCACTTCGTTCAAAGACTCCTTGACATCACGGACCTTAGCTTTGACAGCACAGAGGTCACTAGTCACTTCTTCCTTTGAAGGCATTGCCTTGTGTACCTCGTCCATCTTATCGAGGACGGTGGCCACAACGAGCATTAGCAACTTCATATCCTCAGTCATGTCATAGACGTCAGTCTCTATGGATGTGGGTTTAGTTCCTGAAGGACCTGTAGAAATAATAGGGCGTTGAGCATAATGAGCTCGAAGGAAAGGGAATATCCTAGAACAGATGGAGGCAACGATATGTCATCCATCTAGCCCCTCACGCTAGTCTCGATCTTTGGATTGGATTACCATCGGTAGATGGGTGCTTCCCTCTCGTCTTATCTCTTGCTACAGGTGGTAGATCCACAAAGGTAGGAACATCGTTCTTTTCCACGACCAGGGTCATGTTCTGTTTGAATCGCCGCCCCTGCGGCTTGTGTCTTTTTTTCCACTACGTCAATGTTTGGAAAGAAGATAGCTTAAGTATTTGGTCTGTGACCTAATTAGAACCCACTTTTTGACCTTTCTTTTGAACTTTAGGCCGAATTTCGTGGTTCAAGCCCAAATAAATTAGATTTTTTTGCCTAATTTTCGGTCTAGATTCAAACCTAAAAGCGTTGTTAGGTTTTTAAGTTAATCCTTGGAATCCCAAGTTTTTTAGTTTTGTTGTTAATTAATTTTCGATTTATTGGATTGAATTTAATGTTTAAAGTTATTAAACAATATATAGTTTGTCTAGAAAGACCCGGGGTTTAGTTTGGTTGTTTTATTTATTTGAACAATTAAAATGCATAATTACAAAGGTTGCCAATTTATTTTAATTTTTCTTGATAAGAACAAAATGTAAAATAGAATAAGACATATTGTATTTCTATTTTCAAATTTTGTAATTATCGGAAGACGACATTCCAAAAAAGTCAAGACATACTCCCTTGAGTCCACCATGATGGCAAGGCTAGTGGAAGTTTGAAGACGTCCTTAGACTGATTATGTTGTTGTGATTATTTTTTTTGCGTTTTTATTTTTGCTTATTATTATTGCTATAATATTTCAAAACTTTTAGTTTCAAATGCAAATTAAATTTTAGATCAATAATAAAAAATAATATTTTAATAAATTTGTTATGATTATCAAATTCAAACCGATTTTTGGATAAGCTTTTAAAACAAACATTTTAATTTTAGATAAAATGACACGTTTTTACAAGTAAATAGAATGTTTTCTAAAATTCGAACATTTCACAAATGTAAACTAAATTCCTCCCATTTAAGGTACTTGTCAAGGCTAATGGATTCTGGTATGGTCAGTGCCTAGCCAATCATGTCAGATGATTGTAATGTGAGACAAAGACCGAAATAATGTTAAGTTAATAATTGCATTTGGCCACTCGCTTAGATAGTCATGTTTTGGACAACTGATCCTAACAAACTCTAAATCAAGTGTTTATGTAGGATCATGATACCTTAGTATGACTAGTTTACTTGAAAATTTTATAAACAGTTGCATTGGCCATCTATGAGTATTTTCAAGCCGTTGTAATGAGATTAAACTTGTCAGTTCCAATATATGATATATTGAATAGAATCCCACGAGCACCTAAGAGTTACGTTGAATGTAATTGGATGATACATACCTAAATAACTTATTTTCATAGACAGTTGCATTTGCCCATCTATGGAAATTGGTGAAATATGAATCTTAGCTCAGATAAAATTATTTTTTAAATGTTAATTACTTTTATTTGAACCATTTCTCGATTTGTGCGTGTCATCCTTGCGCAGGGGCCATGCTAATCTTCTCTGTATCTTCACATATTTATCCCCAAAAAATGGAGAGTCAGAGTCCGAGAAGACCAAAAGTCAATCACCGGAGAAGGAACAACGGTGAAACACATAAACAAGTCGAGTCGACGTGTCGAGTTGGTGTATCGAGAGGAAGGAACTTCGAAGACACACAGAAGAAAAGCGAGTCGGTGAATCGTGGTTTGGGGTTCAAAGTGGAAGAATCACTTCACAAGTACGCAACCAGTTTCTATGTTACAAATTTACCAGATGCTTTGGAGGAGAAGTTTCTTTGGGGCAGGATGAAGGAATTGGGTAGGGTGGTCGACGTGTTTATTGCAAGGAAGAGGGACTCGAGGGGTTTGAGATTTGGTTTTGTTAGATTCCTGGGTATTAAAGATGTCAAACGAATGGAAAAAGCTTTATGTGAGGTTTCCTTTGGTTCGTTAAAGCTAAGGGCAAATGTGGCTAAGTATGGTAGGAAAGCCACGAGGGAGGTGAAGGGCACTTCACTGGATAAGAGTTATGCTCAAAAGGTGGAGGCCGAGACCTCAGTGAGGAAGGATCATCAGGTTCTCAGAGGCTCTGGTTCGTACGCTGATGCTGTCAAGAACGGAGTTTGCAAAAAGGCGATTAATTTCCGGGGTCATAAGAGTCTTCCTTTCAAGTTTTCTTCTTCGAATGAAATGAAAGGTAAGCTGAAATCGTCTCTTATTGGGAAGTTTTGTAGCTTTGATGTGTTATGTAATTTTCAAAAATTTGGGGAAATTACAAGTTCATAGGAGTTGTTAGTCAGATATCTGGGGGGTTTGTATGCTCAGGTTTGCTTAAAGAGTTATGCCGATGCTCAAAACTTTCTGTTCAATAATAATAGTGTTTGGAGTGACTGGTTTAGCAAATTAGATTTTTGGAACGATAAGTTTGTGGTCAAGGAWAGGAWWGCTTTTGTCACTATTCATGGTGTGCCAATCCAAGCTTGGACCCCTAGTGTGTTTGCTGCTATTGCTGGTAGATGGGGAGAAGTTATAATTCCTGAAAATTGTTCGGTGGTTAGCAGGAATCGGGAATTTGGGAAAGTCGGTATACTTACTGGTGAGGAAAACTGGATTATGGATTCTCTTGAGATAATTGTTGATGGGATCCTTGTTCATATTCGCGTGGCTGAAGATATTGCGGAGGGCATGTACATAGGTTCCTTTTTCGAGGATACTAACAGAGACTCGGATTCGGATTCGTTTTGTCATTCAGAAAATTTATTCGATGACGACTTCCTTTCTTCTTCTCTGAGTCAGTCTGATTTCTCGCAGTCTCGGCAGACAAAGGAGGATGAAGAGGATCAGTCGAGTCGTGGTTGTCGGAATGGACCCTCGGTCGAGTGTAAAAGCAGGGAACCCATCTCACCTAGCCATGATCAGCTTGGGGATCAAAATGTGGAGGCGGATGGATTTATTTCTCATGAAGTTGACACCGGTGAGGGCTTTGGATTGGTTAATGATGGGGACGTTAAAAGTGGGCCGATGGTGAATAACTTTAATCCACTAGGGCTTCAAGATGGGCCGGTTTCTCAGGATGGCCCTTTTGGAACTGTGCCTTCTAGGGATCTCGGGAATGAGGTATTAGATCTCAATACTTTTCCGAAGAGTTTCGGATTTACAGATGAGGTGGATGGTCAGAAAGAAGAAGAGATTGCTCCGGTTGAAGATATARGGGGATCTGACTCCTCCTTGGATGATTTTGAATATGAACTGGAAGATAGTCAAGCTTGGTCGATTGTCTCGAGGAAAAATGATTTGCGTCTGAAACGTCGAAGAAARTKCGGTACTARWTCTAAAAAGGTTCTGGAGGTCGAGGAGTTCAATAATGAGGTAGTAGGTCTTGACAGGGTGGTAGAGGAGGATCCGATTGTTGTTCTGGATTCCGAGGTTCCCATTGTAGAAGTTGATGAAACTATTCGGGTTGGTTGTATGGTTGGTTTTAAGTTGGAAGGGAAAGAAGAGTTGGTTAAAGATTCCTTGCAAGTTGATGGAGATGTTGGTTGTTTATGTTAAAAATTCTTTCATTTAATGTCAATGGTCTTGGGGGAGGCGTCAAAAGGAAGTGGGTGAAGGAGCTCAAGCAGGTTAACAGAGTGAGCTTTCTATGTATTCAGGAGTCTAGAATTTCCAAAGAGTCTTTTCCTAAAGAGTTTTTATGCTCTTCGGTGTGGGGGGTAGGAATGTTGAGATGGCCTCGGTTGATCCGGTTGGTAGGTCGGGTGGTCTGGTCTCCTTTTGGGACCCATCTATTTTCATCAAGATTAACTCTTTCTCGGATAGGAATTATTTGATCGTTATTGGTACTTGGCGTCCCAACGGGGTCAAGTTAGGTATTTGTAATGTCTACGCTCCTTAAGATGCCAGTGGTAAAGATCGGTTGTGGTCATCTCTTAAGGATCTTGTGGAGTCTTTAGTTGTTGATGTTTGGATTTGCTGCGGTGATTTCAATGTTGTTAGAAGTCGGGAGGAAAGGGTTGGGTCCGAATTTGATGCTGGAAGTGCTTTGGTTTTCAATAATTTTATCTCTGAGATCTGGTTCTTGGATCTCAAATTGGGCAGTCAAAAGTTCACGAGGAAAAGTGCTGACGGTGATAAATGGAGTAAACTGGATCGTTTCTTGGTATCTCAGAGTTTTCTCGGCTTATGGCCTAAGGCTGGTGTGACTGCGCTGCCGTTTTTATATTYGGATCATTGTCCTATTCTGCTAGATGGCTGTGACGTYGATTTTGGGCCGATCCCTTTTAAAYTTTTTAATTCTTGGCTTAGTGATCCTGAATTGGTGCAGATGGTGAAAGAGGGTTGGATAAGGAATTGCAATGGGTACTCGAATCCAAACAATATTCGGTTTCTTTTATCAAATTTAAAGCGGCTGAAGGTGAAGATTAAAGCTTGGAGTATCTCAAGATCGGCCTCTTCTAGAGCTGAGAAGGCTATTCTTACTGCTAAGATCAACGATCTAGATTCGAAAGCGGTAGCTGGTAATCTGAACGCTGTTGATGCGCAAATTAGAACAGATACTATGAAACGTATTTTGGAGATTGATGAAGCGGTTATTAATGATCTCAGGCAAAAGGCAAAAGCCAGGTGGACTCTCGAAGGCGATGAAAATTCTTGTTTCTTTCATGGTCTTCTTCGTTGCAGATATAACAAGTTAAATATTCATGGTATTGGTGTAAATGGAAGATGGATTAGAGATCTGATAGAGCTGAAGAAAGAAGCTATTGCTTTCTTCAAAGAGAAATTTTCGGAAGATAAGGTGTGTCGGCCGTCTTATAAGAGCAACCATTTCAAAAGAATCTCGCTAAGTCAAATGGAGACGCTCGAGTTGCCTTTCACTATGGAGGAGGTTAAAATCGCTGTTTGGGGCTGCGGTAATGAGAAAGCGCCGGGGGCTGATGGTTATTCTTTTGCTTTCTTTAAAAAGTTTTGGGATGTCATTGGTGAAGATGTGTTCAAAGCGGTCAAGGCCTTCGAGGCCAATGCTGATATCGGAAGGGGATGCAATGCTTCTTTCATTACTCTTGTTCCAAAGGTTAAGGACCCTTTGTCGTTCAAAGACTATAGGCCGATTAATCTTATTGGTTGTGTTTGTAAAATTGTCTCCAAGTTGCTGGMGAATAGACTCAAAGGGGTGTTGGATTCRATTATCGGGAAGGAGCAGTCRGCTTTCATTAAGGGTCGWTRCATTCTGGATGGTCCGYTAATTGTTAACGAGTCTATTTCTTGGGCTAGGAAGGCAAAGCGTAAAGTGTTAATCTTCAAAGCTGACTTTGAGAAGGCGTTTGATAATTTGAACTGGGATTTTTTAGACGAGGTTATGTGGCAAATGGGTTTCAGTAATACCTGGAGAAAGTGGATACGWGGAWTTCTMTCTAATGCTAGTGTATCTATTCTTGTGAATGGAAGCCCTACGGAGGAGTTTATCATGGAAAAAGGTGTGCGACAAGGTGACCCTCTTGCACCTTTCCTTTTTTATAATCGCTATGGAGGCTCTTAGGGTGGTTATGTTTGAAGCTCGTATTAAAGGTGTTTTTAACGGGTTGACCCTCCCTAGAGGTGGCCCTATAATAGAGATTCTACAATATGCTGACGACGCTCTATTTTTGGGGGAATGGTCAGTTTCGAATGGCCTAAACTTGATTCGTTTGCTAAGATGTTTTTATCTTTCATCGGGGTTGAAAATTAATTTGCAGAAAATTTGTTTATATGGCATTGGCACGGGCATAGGTGAAGCTGAGTTGCTTGCTCAAAGAATGAATTGTAAGTTTTCTTCTATCCCGTTTCTTTATTTGGGTCTTCCGGTAGGCGCACAGATGGGTAGAAGAAGTAATTGGAATAAGTTAGTGGATAAATTCCAAGAGAAACTCTCAGCCTGGAAGGCCAAATCTTTATCGTTTGGTGGTAGGAAGATTCTTTGTAAATCGGTGCTTGGTAGTTTGGGTGTTTATCTTTTCTCTCTTTTTAAAGTCCCGGAAAATGTTCTTAGCACTCTTGAAAGCCTTCGGAATCAATTCATTTGGGGCTGGACTGGTCAGAGCAGGAAAATGATCTGGGTTAGGTGGAAAGTTACTTGTAATTCAATGGATAAAGGCGGTATTGGTATAGGTAGTCTGAAGGCGCTCAATTGGAGTCTTCTTGCTAAGTGGTGGTCGCGGTTTTTAAACGAAGAAGGTAGTCTGTGGAAAGATTGCATAAAGGCGTTTCATGGGGCTAGTGGGGGTATTTTTAGCGACGGTTGCAAAAAACCCGGTGTTTGGGGAGCTATTGCAAAATGGGACACTCTCATTCAGAAAGTTGGGTTGAATGTGAACAATTTCTAGTCGGTTGATGTTAATGGCATGCGTCGATGGGCTCTATCAGAGGACGGGGTTTTTTCGGTTAAATCGTGTCGGGGAAAGATCAAGGTAGGTGTTTTACTTTCTGATGGAAGGGTAACGAAGTGGAACAAATCAGTGCCAGGTAAAGTGAATATGCTTATCTGGCGTCTTTCAAAGTCTAGACTCCCCACTAGACTTAAT